AAAAGGAAGTAACAAAGTTCTTCAGGCATAAGGAAAATTTTCCCAGGTGGAAAGATGGAAATACAGGAAGAAATGAAGAGCAACAGGAGGGGTAAGTATGTGGAAACTCTAAATCAATAATGACTGTAACAAGACAGTGGTATCATCTTGTGAGATTTAAAACAGAGCTGACCTTGACCAACAAGGGTTTGAACTGTACAGGTCTACTTACCCATGGATTTTCTTCAGTAAATAAGGTATAGTACTCTAGTGTATTTTCTCATGATTTTTAATATTTTCTTTTCTCTAGGTTATGTTATTGTAAAATACAGTATATAATATACAGCATATACAAAATGTTTAATTGACTGTTTATGTTATCAGTAAGGCTTCCAGTCAACAGTAGACTATTAATAGTTAAATTTGGGGGGAGTCAAAAGTTTTGTGTGAATTTTTGACTGTGCATGGGGTCAATGCTGCATTGTTCGATGGTCAACTGTAATGTAAAATTAAAATGTGTGAAAACACAAAAGATGGAGGGGGAGTGGTAAATGGAGTTATAAGGTTCTAAGGTCAGGCATTACCTACAAAATGGTAAAAGTAGTAATTCATATTGGATTCTTAGAGTCAAGAATCCAAATCATGATTTTTAGGACAATTTCTAAAGAAACAATGAAAGATGTATAATTAACAAGGTAATGGGGAAAGAAAAAAAAAAAAGATTGATCCAAAAGAAGGCTAAAATAGAGACACACAGACAAAATAGGGGAAAAGGCCCATAAAATAGATGGGATAAAAAAAAAGAAAACAAGTAGAAAGACTGTAGTTATGAACCCACATATTTCAGTAGGATTACATTAAACATAAACTAAATTTTCTAATAAATAGGTAACTATTTTTGAATTGGATTAAAAACACACATAGTTTAATAAATAATTATTAATCATGTAGCCACCACTCAGGTAAATACATTTTATATGACCAGAACTTCAGAAACCCATATGCCTCTATCCTATGTCATAAATCTCCATAAATAGCATTCGTAGTGCTAATTTCTTTGTTTTAGTCTTTAGATTTACCATCTACCCTTGACTTCCTACATAATTTTCTTTTTCTGGCTATTTTTGACCTTTATTTGAATGGAATCCTACTATTTGAGTCTGCTTTTCCATAATATTTTTGTGGGAGTAACTCGTACTGCTGCATGTTAATGCAGTTCTTCCATTTCCACTAATATACAGAATTCCACTGTATGGATTTACTGCAATTTATTCTTCTTTTCAACTGTAGATGGGCTTTTTGTCCTAGTTTTTGATTATTATGGAAAATGCTAATAAACATTCCTCTACATATATCCTATTGAACATTTAGAGGGTATGTATCAAAGGATGGGACTGTGAGGTCAAAGGATATTAAGATCTTCAATATTTTTAGATAATGCCAAATTTTTTCTGAAGCATTATACCAATTTACTCTTCTAACAACAAAAATGTTAAATAAAATCAATTCCCTTTTTTTCAAAACCTCACCAATACACCAGGTATTGTCAGATTTTAAAATGTTTTACTTTACCTGATATGAAAAGGTATCTCATTGTGGCTTTAATTTGCATTTCCCTGATTACTAATGTAGATGAGTGCTTTTTCATGTTTATTATCGGTCATTTGGAATTCCTCTTTTGTGAAGTAGATGTACAAGTTTTTTGCCCATTTTTATTTTGTATTATCTGGCTTTTACTCATTGATTTGAAGTACTTTCTATACACTCTTTCTATACCCTCTAGGGAAAGGTCCCTAGAGGTTCTATGTGCTGCGTCTTCTCCCACTTGATGGCCTGTCTTCTCACTAAAATTAGTAGCTTGAGAGAAGTTTCTTAATTTTAATATGGTAAAATGAATCAATTTTTTTTTTTATCGTGAAGGTATCTGTGTCTTAAGAAATCCTTCTTTATCCTAAGTTCATGGGGATGTTCTATATTACCTTCTAAAAGCTTTATAATTTTCCTTTAGATAATTGAGTTCCTTAATCCACAGATTGATTTTTATGTGCAGTCTGACATAGAGATCCAATGTCTTTCATATTTTCCTTAACATGAATAGCAAAGTAACTGCACTATTTACTAAAAGTCATACATTTCTCAAGTGATGTGACATACAATCTCCATCACATATCACATATACATATATGCATGGGTTTCTGGATTCTCTGTGACGCTGCTCTATTTGTCTATTACTTAAATTGAATAATATCACATTATTCTAAAATTTCTGTGGTTTGTAGTGTCCTGACATCTGATGGCAAATTCCTTCCTCTTTGTTTCTCTAGTTGATGGATATCTTGGTCTCTTAATCCACTGTATTTACATACACATTTTAGAATCAAATCAGCTTGTTAAATTCCACAAAATTACACACTGGAAAACTGATTGAAATTGCATTCTATAAATTAATTTGAACAAAAGTGAAAACATTCTATAAATACTGCATTGTCCAACCCATAAACATAGTTCATTTTTCCACTGAATTCTTTAATATCTCTCAAAGGTTTATAATTTTCTTCAGCTATTACAATTATTATTACTATTACAATTATTATTACTATTCCTATTCTTATTAAATGTATTCCTAGGTCTCGTGCTACTGTATGGTTATCATATCTTTTAAAAATATCTTTTAATTCCCTAATTGTTTATATCTGGTATACAAGAATATAAATTTTTGTATGTTTGAGATTGGCAATCTTGTTAACTTGTTAATCCTAATAATTTATCTGTAAATTACTTTGGATTTCCTACATTATATACCTACCCCAATCATCCAAGAATAGTAATAATATTTCTTCCTTCTTTTTCAGTCCTTTCTATATTGACCTCTTTTTCTTTCGTTAGCCAAGAGATCCAGTATAATGTTAAAGTGGTGAGAGCAGGCATCCTTCTATTTTGTATCTCAAAGGAAATACTTCCAATATTTGGCCATCAGATCTGTTTTAGGGTTTTTGTAGATACTCTTTATCAGATTAAGGAAGTTACCTCCCTATTCCAAGTTTGCAGAGAATTTGTTTTTAATCATAAACAGGTTATTTTATCAAATCCTACTTGTATTGTGGTTCATGATGATTCTTGTTCTGGCAAATTACATTAACTGGTATTTTATTATTGACCCAGAAGCATTCCTGAGACAAACTCAACTTTTATAGATTGTTGAACTTGGCTTTACTAGTATCTTGTTTAGGATATCTGCCTCTAAATAGAGTCCATGGGTAAAAATGGACTATAATTTTCCATTTCTGTAAAATGTTAAAATTGATTTTAATATTTCACATTTATACAAGATTTTTGTATCTACTCTCATAAAACAAACCGAAAAATATTCCCTCTTTTTTTATTTTTTGGAAGTTTGTTTAAAACTGGTGTTTTAAACCACTGAATCTTGGGGCGCCTGGGTGGCTCAGTTGTTAAGTGTCTGCCTTCGGCTCAGGTCATGATCCCAGGGTCCTGGTTTCGAGCCCCTCCTCGGGCTCCCTGCTCAGCGGGAAGCCTGCTTCTCCCTCTCCCACTCCCCCTGATTGTGTTCCCTCTCTCACTGTGTCTCTCTCTGTCAAATAAATAAATAAATAAAATCTTTAAAAATAATAATAATAAACCATTGAATCCACCCATCAGGGTCAAGTTATATACACTTGTTAGCATGGCTGCCTGGGACAAGTTTCATAAATTGCATGTTCTTCCTTCATTATAGAACATAAGGTGGATTGTTCATATCATAGATAGAAGCCACTGATAAATTTGACATATTAGTAGTCTATAAAATGCTATCTTAATGGGGTCTTCACTTTTTCACTTTTATCACTAGCATTTTGTTTTTCTTTTTTGTCACTTTATGAGTTTCAGCACATACATTAAGAGTGGTAACAACAAAGACTCACTGAAATGTGACTCTTGCATTCACAAACTAAATAAATGCCTTCTTCACAGCAGCTTCCTGGTTCAAAACTAAATGCAGGACTCAATATCATGCAATATTAGCGTTTCTTCTGAAGAGTCAAAACTGTATGTAAATTCCCCAAAACCAAGGATCTACTGCAAATGGTATAGACTGGTAATGCTTCTCCTTCATTTTGTGGCCTCCTTAAGTATGCATAGCTATTTGGGGAAAGGGTGGTGTTCTTCAACTAATTCCTTATTTTTAGTTATGTATTTTTCTCTTTTTAAAAGCTGGAGTATAACATATAAAAGGAAAACCTTAGGACATTTTACAGAGTTAATGTTAAGAATAAATAAATCATACTACAAAGCTCCAAAACTTGCAAATCACCAGACCAAAGAAAAGAATTCATTAAAATGCCTCTCCCCCAACATTTATCCAGGCAAGAATCACCAATCGTATTTCTTTGTTAAACTAAATGACTTCTTCCTTACCTGCCCTGAATCTTTTAGACTAGATCAGAGGTTAGGTGTCTTGGCTGCTTTTTGACACAATTAGACAAGTTAACCTGTTCACTGTAATTTGAAGTTATCATGATTCATAATAATGCTTTCAACCTGTAGGAATCGAATACTTTTAGGTACGTTTTTCCTACTCTTAACTTTCCTAGCCTCTGTAACTTTTGTAAGCCACCGTTTTATAGGACCTTGACTTTTCCACGTGTAGAACACAAACCATGAGAATGATCAAGTGATCACTCTGATTACCATAACAAAGATGGAACACACCACAGTGGAAAACCCAATACCCTAGTCAATTCAAAATTTTATTTAGTACTGTGTTGTTTTTTTTTTTTTTTAAGTAAACTCTACCCCCGATGTGGATAAAGAGTTGCATGCTCTACGGACTGACCCAGCCAGGCGCCCCTATTTAGTACTGTTAAAACAACAATGATAAAAGCTCTGGATAACCAATTCCATTCCTTCATAAGAGACAAGAATGAATATGAACCTTTACACTGTTTCATTCTTAACTGAGAAACGGTATGTTTACAAGCATATAGTTAGGTAACTTTATGCATTTTTGTAGAAATGCCTACCTTTCTGAAACAGCCTCATCATGATCCCGTGATAAATTAAGCTTTTCACTTGCTTTTTCTGAAGGGTTAGAAGGTTCAGAGCTCACAGAAGTCTTTCCTTCATCTGGAATACTGACTGACTCTGGATTCTTATCCAAATTCATGGTCTCTGAATTTGTAACCTGTTAATTGGGTGAAGAAAAAGCAGTTAAAGGGAGTGTTACCACTTGTATTCTTCCACACAAAATTGATAGGTAAGGGGCGCCTGGGTGGCTCAGTTGGTTAAGCGACTGCCTTCGGCTCAGGTCATGATCCTGGAGTCCCGGGATCGAGTCCCACATCGGGCTCCCTGCTCAGCGGGGAGTCTGCTTCTCCCTCTGACCCTCTTCCCTCTCGTACTCTCTATCTCTCATTCTCTCTCTCAAATAAATAAATAAAATCTTTAAAAAAAAGCAACAAAATTGATAGGTAAAATTGCACTTGGAAAATGTTCTCAAAATATTCTTGAATACATATGGCAAAATGTATGTTAAATTATATGTATTTCAATGGCTGATGACAATGCTTACAGTGTCTTTGCCAAAATAAATTCTAAAAAATACTTCAAGAAATAAAAATAATGATAGTACAAATCAACTTCCTAGCTTGGGTGGGAAGGAAAAACAAACACCTAAGACAACATTTTATTCCTATTAGACTATGTTTTAGGAACTCAGGAACATTAGACTCCTAATAATGAGTGAAGACCAGAAATAAATCAAATTTCCAACTTGTTCTTCCAGTTGAGTTTTGTTTAAAACTTGGAAGTTGAAACACGTAGTCCATGCTTTGGTTGAGAATGTACAGTATTTAAAATATACGTGTAGGGGCGCCTGGGTGGCTCAGATGGTTAAGCGTCTGCCTTCAGCTCAGGTCATGATCCCAGGGGCCTGGGATCGAGCCCCGCACCGGGCTCCCTGCTCAGCGGGAAGCCTGCTTCTCCCTCTCCCACTCCCCCTGCTTGTGTTCCCTCTCTCGCTGTGTCTCTGTCAAATAAGTAAATAAAAATCTTTAAAAAAAAATATGTGTATATTAAAGAATACAAAAGGGTCAAACTGATTGCGCAACTCATGAGCTTTTCTGGTGTAAAACGTGAACAAAGATGCCTGTACACAAAGGCAGACTTCTGAAATGTTATTAAGCTTGCAGATTCTATATGTAGAAATAGGTTCAAACAACATTGGAAAACGATAGCAAAAAATATTTGGTATTCTTTCAGTTCCAGGACCAAGTGGCTCACTTATCCCTGCTACTCTCATCTAAGCATAATGAAAAACCCTGGAAATAATTCAACAGATAATCATAAAATATCTCTGAACGGTGGAAAGAAAAGGGCAGACTGCCTGAGGATCTTGAGACTGCGGAGAGAAAGCACAGTGAGTTCCCTCGGGTTTCTTTTTATTATCCATATATCCTACACGACAGGTGCCACAAATGTCAGGGACCCATCCTTCTCGCCAAACCTAGAGCAGGGGGGATTGAACCTCACTCCACACCTGCAAAATCAGCAGCCATATTCACTGCAGCAGTAGTGTCATCCTGGTCCCCACCTGACAACTGGAGCAACAGTGGGCCTAACCAGCTGCAGTAGCAGGACTGGCAAAGCCCAGCCAGGGACCGAACCCCAGGAGCCCACACCTGAAACAGCAGTGGGACCATCATCCCTCATTTGGGAAAGCTGTGGACAAGATTACTGAAGCATCAGCGTTGTTGGCAGGGCTGCATTCTTTCTGGAGGCTTCAGAGGAGTGTTTCCTTTTTTCTAGCTTCTAGAAGCTACCAGAATTCCTTGGTTCAGAGCCCCTTCCTCCATCTTCAATGCAATCATTCCAACCTCTGCTTCCATTGTCCCATCTCTTTCTGCCTTTGACCTTCCTGACTCCTTTTTGTAAGGACCCTTGTGATTACACTGAGCCCACCAAAATAATCTCCCCATCTGTGAGCTTCTTTTAACACATAAAGTAACATACTCACAGGTTCTGGGGATTAATTCATGGATATCTTTTGGGGGTCATTATTCACCACTATCAACCACTGTGGCAAAATTAACACAAAAGTGACATTTATACATCATTACATCCAACATGCAGGTGTATGTGGAACATTCACCAAGGAAGAAAAAGCGTATCTTGGGCTATAAAGTGTCAATAACTCTCAAGACAGAAATTTTACACAGTATGTTCTCTGATCAAAATAAAATTAAATTAGGTATCAATAAAAATAAGATACTTAGAAAGGCCTCAAATGTTTGGAAATTAAACACACACTTCTAAATAACCCATGAGTCAAAGAACAATACCACAAAGGAAGTTATAAATTATTTTCAACTGAAGAAAACCAAATGGGCACCTGGGTGGCTCAGTCAATTAAGCATCTGCCTTTGGCTGAAGTCATGATCCCAGGGTCCTGGGACTGAGCCCATGTCGGGCTCCCAGCTCAGCAGGAGTCTTCTTCTCCCTCTCCCCCGCCCCTCCCCCTGCTTGGGCTCTCTCTCTCTCAAATAAATAAATAAAATCTTTTTTAAAAAATACAGTACATCAAAGATTATAATCTCTGTAGTCAGAAGTGCAATGTCTAGGGGTGCTCCTGAGTGGCTCAGTTGGTTAACTGTCCGGCTCTTGGTTTCAGCTCAGATCATGATCTCATAGGTTGTAAGACTGAGCCCCGAACTGGGCTCCACGTTCACTGGAGAGTCTGCTTGAGATGCTTTCCCTCTGCCCCTCCCCCCACTCACACATGCTCATGCATTCTAAATAAAGAAAATTTTTAAAGATTTTATTTATTTATTTATTTGTCAGAGAAAGAGCACAAGCAGGGGAAGCAGCAGGCAGAGCAAGTGGAGGGAGAAACAGGCTCCCCACTAAAATGAACTCTATCATGATCCCTGGGATCATGACCTGAGCCGAAGGCAGCCGCTTAACCAACTGAGCCACCCAGTCGTCGCTCTAAATAAATAAATCCTAAAAAAAGAAAAAAAAAAGTGCAATATCTAATCACTGAGATGCTCAGAAAATGCTTAGAAAAAGCAGTGCTTAGAAGGAAATTGATAGCTTTAAATGTTTTCTAGTAGAAAAGAAGATTAAAAACCAATGCTTGTTCTTAAGAAGCTGGAAAAAGAATATATCCAATGTAAGTAAAAGGAAGGAAATTATAAAAAACAGAAAAGAGACATCGAAGAGAGTAAGATTTTTAAAACCCTAGTCAAGACTGATCAAGAAAAAAAAGAACACAGATTATTGGTTTCAAAAATGAAACAGTATATCATTACAGATCTACAAATACTAAAAGGACAGGAGAATTTTGTTAATAATTTATGTCAACAAATTCAACAACTTAGATAAAAGGGACACATTCCTTGTGAAGATAACTTACAAAACTGATATGAGAGGAAATAGAAAAATCCGAATTGCCCCTTACCTATTAAAGAATTGAATTTCAAGAAAAAGTCTTCCTACAAAGAAAGCTCCTCGGGGCGCCTGGGTGGCTCAGTTGGTTAAGCGACTGCCTTCGGCTCAGGTCATGATCCTGGAGTCCCAGGATTGAGTCCCACATTGGGCTCCCTGCTCAGCAGGGAGTCTGCTTCTCCCTCTGACCCTCCCCCCTCTCATGCTCTCTCTCTCATTCTCTCTCTCAAATAAATAAATAAACTCTTTAAAAAAAAAAAGAGAAAGCTCCTTGCCCAGATAGTCTTCAGAGATGGATTCTATCAAACATTTAAGGAAGTAAAAAAATCTTACACAGACTTTTGGAAAACAGGGGAGGGAATGCTTCCCAATTCATTTACTGAAGCCAGCATAAATATGATACCAAAGCAAATAAAGATACTACAAGAAAAAAATTCAGTGAATGTATACTGAAGACTGTATTTAAATTTTATATGAAAAATATAAACAGATACCAAATTCTAATGATACCCCTGCTGAAATATTTTGGAAGTGTATGCTACAAAGTATATTTTGATACAAAAAAATACATTAATGAATGCACCAAATATGAAGATGGCTTAGGAGATGAACAGATTGACAGGTATATGACAAAAATAAACATATTAAAATAGTAAAGGTAGAATTCAGGTGCTGTATATACAAATGTTCACTGTAAAAGTTTGTCAACTTTGCTGTTGTGTCTGTTTGAAACTTTTTATCCTGATAAAATGGTGGGGATCACAAATCACCTCGCTACTCACTTGATGCAAGAAATATAAGTGGCATTTATGTTTGGCCACCTAAGGGTATTTTCTCCAGAGATAACATCACAGGAACATTCTAAATATAAATTTTTCTTTAAAGCCTTCTTAGTTTGAAAAAATATATTTCATATCTTAAAATCCAAATACCTATAACGGTGGGTCAATGAGGCAATTAAAACTCATGTGTGTTTATACCAACCTTACAGGCTGTTTTACTGGTTAATACATTTGGTTCCAAGCAATTCTTTTGAGATTGCAATACTGCTTTAATACGTCTTTGAAGTTTTGATATTTTTGCCTAGAAGAAAAAGAGAAAAATAAATACAAAACCAGAGTACTAAATAATATATAGAGATGGAGGGAACACTATGTATCTGCCAAATGAGTCTTGTTAAGACTTAGACATCCACCCAAATAAATGAGACATTTTTATATAAGCAAAGATTTACTTTATATAAGCAAACAAAAACCCCAAAACAGTTTCAAACACATTATACCAGCTCTAATACAGGATATATTTTGAATTAAAAGAAACTGCCTACATATTAAGCCTGTCACTTGACACAGAATAATTGACAACAGAAGAACATAGAATAATATTTCCAATTTCGTAAGGGTCACTATTGCTAATAAACTCTATTACCTATGGTAGAGTACACCAGGCTTGTGGTCAAGGATCAGATTTGGGTCTGCTTTATTGTTTTCCTTTCCTAATATGTAAAATATCACCAAATTCTACTTCAAATGAAATCAAATGAAATCAGAAACTTACGAAGAGTTCATCAGCTATCGCTTCATGTTTATTCCTGCACTGTGTCTTCCCAATGCGTTCGGTCAATTCTTTCAGCTTATTATCAAACAGTTTGTAATTTATACTATAGATCTCCTGTTGAATCAAATGTTTGACCTAGAATTTTAAAATAAAAACCAGAACACCCCATGTTTCAAATTTAAAAGCAATTTTATTTTCTACTCCTTAAAAACAGCTTTGTTCTTTTCTGGATTTATTGTAACTGATAAAATATACATTTTTCACGTTTTTATGTTTACATTACCCGAAGTTTGACTATCAAATTTAGCGAAACAGGGCGACTGGGTGGCTCAGTTGATTAAGCGACTGCCTTCAGCTCAGGTCATGATCCTGGAGTCCCGGGATCGAGTCCCGCATCGGGCTCCCTGCTCAGCAGGGAGTCTGCTTCTCCCTCTGACCCTCCCCTGTCTCATGCTCTATCTCATTCCCTCTCTCAAAAAAAAAAAAAACAAAACTTCAAATTTAGCGAAACACACGCAGTATCTAATATTACCAGAAATTTGAATATCAAATTAAGTGAAACACACCCAGTATCTAAATATATGGATATGTTAGAACATAAATTTATTCTCCCAGTGCTAATTTTTGTTTCCTACAGTTTCAGCTGAATTCCATAATACATATTAAAGGAATGGTAAAAGCCTATATTGCATTTATATTTTTTAATGAGCATTACTGAAATCAAGTATTCCATAAAAAGGAACTCCATTTATCTGAAAGCCAGAGCCCAGTGAAAATGGTTGGTTGGTCTACAGTGGCTATGAAGCAAATTATGAAAGTCTGAGCCTTGACCCAGCCATTAACAAAGCTATATGACCTTTGGGAAGTCACAACACCTCTCAGCTTCATCTTCCTTGCCCACATATGGGTAGGTAATACAGTGTTGAACGTGTGATGCTCTTAAGATTCTTATAAGGGTATAAAAGGTAAATATGTGAAAGAGCTCCATAAAATAGAAAACAGTGAATTGACACAAAGGAAATAAATATGCAAGATAATCGACTTTACTTGCATAGGTTTTTTAGGGGGTGACTTTCTATTGTTAAAATGGAGAGAAGTCAGGACTAATTAGGGAGTGACTAATGCTATTCGGCATAATGCACACTATTCTAACAGTAGCTATCACATGAAACATTAATGCATTTCATTATCTGGCTGTTTTTTAGAAAACAGACGGGCCTATTTTCAGGGAGCATAATTAATCTCAATGCCCACTGATATGAATAGCTCTGCTCAGCCATATATTCGGAAATATCCACTGTAATTTTCTGCTGAATTTGTATCCTCCTGTAAGCTGCTTTCGTAACAGAGTAGGTAGTGTCTCTTAATAACAAAACCTGTCATGATACACCCAAGGTATTTATTAGTAATATTTGTATCTTTCCCCTAAATTCTTGCTTCTTGGTGTTTGAAACTGGAACACAAAGCTTCTACGTTAAACTCTTTTATACTGGTATCACTGGGATGATTAGGGTTATTCAACAATTTTGATTATTCCCAAGGTTTTTCCTTCTCATTTCCAATTGTTCTTGCTCTTTAATATTATCATCTACTTGATTTTTTTTCTGTAGTGCTTAACATTTCTTCAATGATTTCTCAACATTAGACATGATTATCATTTTTACTGTCAAACTTTTAAGTATTTGATTCAACTAATGAGTGCTCAAAATAACACTATTTTTACTGACAGGTGAAAACCACCCATGTGTGGTTTTTATGGATTACTACAGCCCTGCCAGTTCAGTGGCTGGGTCAATATGTAAAGCTCAAACTCAGATGAATCTTGGAGAAACTTTCTAAATGTTCTGAATGTGGAAATACTGTTTTGCTAACAAGCAGAGATCACACAGTGTTTGTGAAACTTCCCTGGTAACACACAGATTCCTAGGCCCTAGCCTGGATTCACCAAACAGAATTTCCTGGAAAAAGGCCTGGAAAGCTGTCTAATTAACAGGCACCTCCAGTAATTCTTATTAGGTAAGTTTGAGAAAAGAGTAGCCTAAAACAACAGTCTTCAACTATGAGGGAGCTCAATAAACCACAATTTAAAGTATGTACTCCTGGTGATTCAGATGGAGGCAGATTCTTAAAACTTGGTTATTTAAAAGGACTAAATAAATGCCCATCCACGGATTGTTACTCTTGGTTAGAGTGGACATTTCTCATTTAGTGGAGATGTTACTCATATAAAAGGAAGACACAATAATCTCCACCAAATACCTCATAAATGTCTTCTGCTGATGGTAATGTGTCCCAAATTATGGAATCTGATGGAAATCCTAGGTACAATTGGCAGATGGCAGCAAAAGTAGCCTAAAGATTGGAGAAAGACTAGCAATTATATATTTTCAATCTGCCTAAACTTTCTAAGATGGTGGGTAGAGTGAATAACTTGGACTTTAGAAGAAAAACTGCTCCACTTCAGTAATTCAGTTGGAATCAACAAGGCCAACATCCTTATAAAAACCTCAAAAAAGAAGAGTCAACAGCTCTGGGACTCTCTCAGGGAAGAATAATGTCAGAATGCTAGCCCTATTCCACTGGGATTCAAACTAAAAAAAACCCCAAATAGATGTGGTTTAGAGAGTTAACTGTTTGCAAAGGAATTAAAATATCAAATGACGGAAAGCTAGCTATTTGGAGATAGGTAAAAAGATAGTAATTAGCTAAAACCCAAGATGTCTCTGAAGAATGTGCAAGAAACTTCAGGGAGGGGGGTGGTGGTGGTTGAGAAAACAAAATAAACTGCATTCCTCAAACCTCGTTGGGAAGGACCATTTTCTGTGTCAACTCAGACCAGGTATTTTGTGAGACAGATAATTGTAATGAATGAAAACTGATTTTTTTCATGCCAGCGACACCAAAATATTCAAAGATTAAATGTTGCCTTTATATGTCCCTATCAGAACTTATTTCTAAATTCAGCTACTAATCAACGGGAATAAGACTGGAATCCCAAACTTTTTTCTTAAGCTAGATCTATACTCACCATAATTTTGCCACCTCTTTCCTGCAAATAACAGAATATTTACATATTTTTTTATTAGTGTTTCCTTTGGTCTTCCTGGAAGAAAAGACAAAGTAGAAAGGGAAAAACTGCTAACTCACCTTTTCATGCTGGTTCTGCATGAATCTTTCAAAAAGGTTTCCATTTATTTATTATGTGAATACATATTCATATAATATGTAACTATATAATTGTAATGGTCTGTTTTAGAAAACAGTAGTGTTTTTGTTTCTGAAACAGCAGGATAGTTTGGCTTCAGACATTTCGGTCCATTATAGCTGACAGACATTAATCTACTACATAATGACTTTCAGTTGAATAATTCTAGTGGTAGTAAAATAGCAAAACATGATGGTTAAAACAGGTCCTCATTACAGGACCTATTAAAATTGAAGTTCATTATACTTAAACTGAAGAGTTGATCAAACATGGGAAACTGTAGTACAATGAAATAAAATGGGGCAAAATGAAAGCAAAACGTGCATTTGATGATGCTATAAAACAAAGTATCAGAAAATCCAACACATCTGTGTAAACCTGGAAATTAGGGCAAGTAAACCCAAATGCAGCAGAACTTTATGATGGACTTCTGGGTTGTCTGAGTCTATGAAGTAGGGGTCAGTTGTGATGAGGTATACAAATGGCTGTAGTTGCAGATCAGAGAACCCAAAGACCAGAAAAAAGGCATTGATTTATTCAGCAAAGCTTAAGGTCATGCAGTGTCTGACTTTCTAAGAGATTCAAATGTAATATTGACTAAAAAGTCCATTCTCTTTCTACTACAGCACTCTACCTACACATGATTCTCTAAGTTACTCTACATGTTTTGGTAATGTAAACAATGATCTTTCCCTAATATGTCCATCAGTTGATTCCATTTTCATATACAACTTTTGCACCAAGTGAAAGTCTTCTGTACTAAATCATCGTGGAGATCAATTAACTTTCACCATTTTTTACTAATCAGAAGTTTCTGAAGCAAATATATAAGCCCCAATATTTTACCTGTTCCAGCAATGCTGTTTGCTTTTCCAGGGCTACACAAATATTTTCATTAATTTGCTCTGAAGTTTTCATGCGCTTAACATTTTCTTTGTTTTCTGAAAACATCCTCTTCTTTTGATTATGGCCTTAGGGAAATGGAAAGATCAGGAAGTAAAAATATTCCTTCTAAGGAAGGAAACAAGGGAATTCTCTAATCCAGGGACTGTCTAAGGAAATAGAAAAACTAAAATGTGACCAAGGCAGCATTTTTTAGACAATGTAATTGTCTAAAAAATTGTGATAAACTAACCTTAAAAAAATGATTATCTTAGGTTCTTAGGTAGAATTCTGGTCTCAGATACACTTTCCTTTCAACTTCATTTAATACCTATTTAATACTGACAAGAACTGAATAAATTATAGCACTTAAATCCTCTAGTTACTTAAGTGGTCTTACATTATTTTTATACAGTTACTTAGGCAGTCTTACATATTTTTAATAGGTGATCCTGTTATTTTTGAATAATTTTAAATCAATCTTATTAAATGATCACTATGTAGCCTAGACAAGAACACAAATAAAATTTATCCCACAAAATGTTTTTCTTATATTTCATTAGCTTACAAAAAAATCCTACTTCAAATGAAATTTATTTTTGCTATTTTAATAATTTTATAACTCTAGAATTTCATTGGTTAACTATTTGATGTTTCTCTGTCATTCCACACATACACGTATGTATGTTTATGTGTATATATATACCTATTATCTATCAGCCAGGTCAATTCTATGGAAAGAAATGAGTTCACTAATGATTAAAAAAACTCTTTCAACTAGCCTCCTTATTAATCTAATAAATAAAACTTCAAAATAAGAAGAGATGTAGATGAAATAAACCAAACAACCGCCATAAGTCACCTTTTGATTTTTTTTGTACTCTCAAGGGAAAGCGACTGATTCCTTCTTTGCCAGAATTTACTTCCCTTCAAATATGGAGGATACCATTTCCCCCTCCTCACCCTAAATGGTTGAGAAACAAGATACTCTGAAACGATTATTGCCATCATTTATTTTTTTCCTGGCTATAGACACTCTATGGTTTCTGTATCTGAGGCTAAAAAAAATCCCCCAAAAGGAAAGTGACTATGACTATTTTAATTTCTCCAAAGATGCATAAGTATACACTTACTGTTATTACTATCAGTGTCAAGTGCTGACAGCCGTGTTGAGTCTATACTTTCAAAATTTGAAATGCTGGAATGACAGGTTCTACAAGATTCTTCACTTTTCAAAATTTCAGTAGCACAGTTACTGGAAATGACTGAATTCACCAACTTAGGTATTTTATCAACAGGCAGAAAACGGGTATCTGAACTTAAAATTAAAATGTCACCTTGTCTTTTATCACATGACTCAGAATTGGAGTTTGTTTCTAAATAAGAAACTATCTTGTCGATTCTCTTATCATCCAAGGTATTGTTTACTGTAGTTTTTGGCATTTGAACCATACCAGGCAATACATTGGATGGACAACAAATGGATTTCAGATTACAATCTTCTTCATGTTGTTCAAAATAGGATCTTGTTATATCTGTCTGACATTCAATATGGTTTTCAGAAGTGTTCTGTGAATCCTTTGCCTCTTGTGTAAAGAGTTTCCTGGAAAATTCTATTGTTTTGCTTGGCTTTTGGTAAGGGCACACAACTTGTTCTTCAATGTATTCCAATCTTGTTTCTGAATCAACAATTTCTAGTGGTTTCATTACATTCTGAGAAAATGCTTTACTTTTCTCTGAGCATACTGAATTTTTGTTAGAGTCCAATAAGGAAGCATCATTTTCAGAATGTCCATATTTGCTATTTATGACACCAGTACTTGAATTCTGATTACCACTTGACACATTATTCCCAGTTGCTGTTTTCAGTGCTTCGGCATTCTTTGACTTATTCAGGATCTCTACTTGCTTCCGGCAACTCGCAGGCATTGTTTTTTTGGCTTTTAGTATCTTCCGCTTACTTCTATCTGGACTTGCCATCTTTTATACCCTAGAATTTAAAATACCATATTTAAATGCACTTCTCTAGCAGACGGAAGCTTATTTATTTGTAATATTAATGTTCAGACTATTTCTAGAGATTTAGATAATTATTTCTCTTGAAAATTACATCCATTTTCATCTGTCACTGAAAATGTACAAGTAATTTTAATTTTTTTCTATAAATCTAAACTATATAAATTCAAACTTTATATTGCCAGTAAGCCTCTACTTGATACTAAGGCTGTTAATTTTATCTGGCCACTTTTTGTACCACCTCACTGCCATAACCATTGAAGTCTGGTTTCAATTATCCAAGCAGGCCATACCTTATATAATCTAAAGATTAAACTGCATTTTTTTCATAAAAACAAAACTCAATGTTTTGCAAAGAATTTTCCATTTTCTACACCTAGTGGCACCGTCTTAAAGCTTTCCTAATGTTCAAGTTTCCAAAATAAATGGTACTGCAGGAGTAATTCCCAAAAGTTAGGAGTATAAAATGAGTGCTAAAGATACACAACATGATGCTAGTTCAAACAAGAAAGCCAATTTAGCTTTTAATTATTTTTCATAATTTAATAAAAATCTACATAGCAGAGAAAAATATTTTAGTGTTTATCTCTCACTATATCATATCAAGTCTGATCTAAACTGTAGGTAGGTAGGTAAATGGTTTAAAGGAAATAACTGTGAAGTTACAAGGCAATCAAAGGCATAATAAAAACAACAAAAAAAGGAAAAATATGTATGTATGGGCATGATAGGCCAGTTATCTAACAAAGTGTAGAGAACTTACTAAACTGAGAAGACAGAATCTAGGACTTTTGAAGGCACAAATAGCCCAGTCAAAGCTACCTGAATAAGTTTTTCATTTATCACTATACCTTACTTGAAGCTTTCCTTTATTATATCCTTTTAATTTACCATATCATTTGATCAGGAACAGTTCCAGGATTTGTGAGAGCTGAAGTTTGAGGTGAATACGTATTTAGAACAAGAAAGAAATATCACAACAAATTCAAATTTTAAAAACCTGTCTGTCATGTATAGGGGTGCCTGGGTGACTCAGCCGGTAAGCATTGACACTTGCTCTCAAAGTCATGTGTTCAAGCCCCGTGTTGGGCCCCACACTGGGCATGGAGCCTACTTAAAAAACAAACAAAGAAACAAAAACTCCAAAAAACAAAAACAGACCTGTCATGTATTTAAAAAAAAAAAATCACAAAATCCAAAAAAATAGCATACTTTCATTAATCAAAGGCCTGATTCAATATAAGGTTTTTCCCTATAGGACTACATATTTGATTGCCTCTCCATGAACACAATTTTTGCAGTATTTCCCACAAACTAAATCTTTCTTCTAGCATGGTTGATTAATTTTTTTCTTTTTAAGTATGCTCCATGCCCAGCAGTGTGGAGCCCAATGCAGGGCTTGAATTCATGACCCTGAGATGAAGACCTGAGCCCAGATCAAGAGTTGAATGTTCAACCAACTAAACCACCCAGGTGCCCCATTAGCATTGTTGATTAAATTTTAACTGATAATCAGGATGCATAAAACAATCAGCTTCATGTGAAGACATACATTTTGTTGGTACTGCTACAGCTATGTGACCTATAAACACAAAAATTCTTTATTTTAAAGACAGAATTCCTATCAAAAAAAGAAAAAAATGTACAGTGAATTTTTAATTGAATATGCTATTATTTTTCTAACAAAAAGAGAAGTTCTTTTGACTAGAAATCCATGAGAACTAAATCCTCTACTTATGTTTTTAAACATCAGGTCATTGGAATATTTTTTCCTGACTATCTTCTGGCTTCATAAATTTCAATTCGTGGCTTCTTCACTCATATATTGCAGGGGCCAGGCACTGTAGACCATCACAATCAGGCCAACAGGCAATAATTACCTACATTCAAAAGTGACTATGAACCACAAATGTATCCTATTAAACCCACACTAAGTATATTCCCAATCACAAACTGCCTGAAGCTATTCTACTCCCAGGTGACACAAAGGTAAGGAGAAATCAAGATGAAGAGAGACAGTAGTCTTAAACGATTATAGTTGAAATATCTTATTTTATAAATCTTACAGAAACTACCAACCATGTGAATACACTGCTATGGTCCTTTCTCAGGGCCTTTAGAAAAGGCCCAGACTAGTGAAAAGCCCTGAAAACTTTGCGGTAAATATGCCTCTACATTTGATGCACACACAAGACATGTAATGTCCATTAATTATGAAGTATGACAATGTATGAAAATACTGAGTATCTTTGAACCACCCACCATTCAGCCAAATACCACCAGTAACTTGCATCTATCCAAGGTTTCCCACACCATGCCTCTCCCCCCTCTTCCCCAGCCTAAGGTAATTTTGTATCCTACATTTTGAGTTTATACTTTTACTTTTTAGGTTAGTTTCATTATAAATGTGATGTGTAAACAATATAGTTTAATTCTACTTACTTTTGACCAAACTATATAGTTTTCTTTTTCTTTTAAAGATTTTTTTTTTTTTAATTTATTTGACAGAGACAGAGATAGCGAGAGGGAACACAAGCAGGGGGAGTGGGAGACGGAGAAGCAGGTTTCCTGCCGAGCAGAGAGACTGATGTGGGGCTCAGTCCCAGGGCCCTGGGATCATGACCCGAGCTGAAGGCAGACGCGTAACAACTGAGCCACCCAGGCACCCCAGACTATACAGTTTTCTAACACGTTTCTTCATGCACATCCCCAGACTCATCCATGAAACTGTGTATAGCAGTAATTCATACGTTTTAATGGCATCATAATGATCCATTGGGTCAATATAACAAAACTTCTTTATCTAGTTCTCTATGAGGGATATTTGAGTCATTTCCAGTTTTCTTTTTCTTACTAACATTATTGCTACGACTACTGTTTCAAGGTGCATGCCTATAAACATTTTTTGAGTGGATTTGTTGGGTAGCAGTAAGATATACAAATGTTCAAATTTTCAAGATAGTCAAATTATTTTCTAAAGCAGGTATACCAATATACACCCCTACAGGCAATGTATGAGTTACCACTATCCACATCCTCTCAAGCCTTTGGTATTGCCAGACTTAATTTTTACCAATCTACTTGGATATGGATATATATCTCATGGTCTTAATTTGCATTTCCCTAATTAGTAGCATCTTCCTATGTTTATTGGCTATACATATTTCCTTATCTGCAAAATTCCTGGTTATATCTTGCTTATTTTGTTTTTGACTGGGCTGTCTTTTCTCATTTATTTTTCAAGAGAACTTAATATATTATGAATAATCATCCTCTGTCAATCATTTGTTTTATGAGTTACAAGTATGTTCTCTCAATTGTGGTTTGTCTTTGGATTTTCCTAATTTTAATACACATTTCTTTTTTTTCTTTAATGGCTAAAGTTTAATCTCTCTTGAGAAACCCTTCCCCACCTCTAGGTAATATGTGAAACAGTGAGGCCTACTGGTGGTATAGAAGCCTTCTTCTGATCTAAGTTATCTCAGGACACAGACCTGCACCATGGCTGTGCAATTATAAAAATACATAATATAAAAGCAGACCTGAGTGAATATATAACAGGAATACCTGCTCAGAATTATTTTTTTTTGATTTTATTTTATTTTTTTATTTGAGAGAGAGAGAATGGGAGATAGAGAGCACGAGAGGAAGAGGGTCAGAGGGAGAAGCAGACCCCCCACTGAGCAGGGAGCCCAATGTGGGACTCGATCTGGGGACTCCAAGATCATGACCTGAGCCGAAGGCAGTCGCTCAACCAACTGAGCCACCCAGGCGCCCTACATCATTAATTTTTGATGTAGTGTTCCATGATTCATCGTTTGCGTATAACACCCAGCACTCCATTCAGTACGTGCCCTCCTTAATGCCCATCACTGGGCTAACCCATCCCCCCACTCCCCTCCCTCTAAAACCCTCAGTTTGTTTCTCAGAGTCCATAGTCTCTCATGGTTCGTCTCCCCCTCCAATTTCCCCCCCTTCATTTTTCCCTTCCTACTATCTTCTTCTTCTTCTTTTTAAACATATAATGTATTATTTGTTTCAGAGGTACAGGCTGTGATTCATCGGTCTTGCACAATTCATAGCACTCACCATAGCACCTACCCTCCCTAATGTCCATCATCCAGCCACCCCATCCATCCCACCCCCAACCACTCCAGCAACCCTCAGTTTGTTTCCTGAGATTAAGAATTCCTCATATCAGTGAGACATTATGATACTTGCCTTTAGAGACAATTATTTTTAAAGTTTATAAACATGAGAAAATTGGTCATAACAGTGTGTAACTTGTTAGCTGATAAAACTCAGGGCACTGTGGAGAGGTACTTCACTTGGAAAACCTCTGCATCAGTATACTTAGGGAAAAATAAGTAAAACTGCCAATAAAAGGCTCAGGGAAATTAAGTACTGGGGACTGCCTAAAAGATAAATGACAATTTACATATTATAGAGAAGTTTAGTGAAATTTATTATTGGGAGAATAAAAATAAAAGACAGTCTAGTTGGGGATCCCTGCCATCATCAGGACTTCTCTCTGCAACCAGCTCCTTTGCTGTCAAATAAGCAACATTTCACACAGATCTTTAAAATCATGGTACTGTCCAGCAGCACAAGGTAGGAAAGAGAAGTCATCTATATTTTCTCAAGTTTTAAAGATCTGTCTTTCATTATTTAAGTCCTAAATCCATCTAGAATTGATTTTAGAATATACTGAGAGGAAGGGATCTAATTTCATTTTGCCCTCAGGTGTATAATTAATTATTGGACAGTATCCTGTTAATTTTGAACTTTTAAAAATGTTACCTTTCATTCATCTGATGATATAACTCTGGGATGGGATGATAAACATCCCATCAATTTGTTTTAGATGTCTTTTGTAAAACTTATTGAAAATAGCCTAATGAATCTTTTAATAGAATTTAATCCATTTACGTTTAATATTGCCACTAAAGCTTTAACTTACACTTGGTGTTATGCCTTCTGACTTTCAT